CCAAAACAATCCTCTTGGGAGACTTACAGAAGGAGCATGTTCTACAATTATCTTGGCAAATACAGCTTCCTCATACCCCTGAGGATACAAATTATTTGGAGGATTTGAGCACATCTTTCAGCATATATCACTGCCACAGTCACAGAAAAGCTTCCCTGGCTCGTGACAAGAGCACACAGACTGGTTTTGGGCAATGCTAAAATTAGAGCACATGTCCAATGGTCATGTATTTCTCTTACGAAAACATGAAAAATCCTGTTCTATGGAGAATAAACCAAGTGTCAAAATGTTGGTGAGAAAGATGATGCTCTCAGGGTAATGTTGAGTTACCAACAGCCACTTTTAAAATACAATTTGTGGTGCAAGACCTACCCTAGAAGACTTTATCCTTAACAGTGAAAGATCCACGAGTCATAAGGGCCAGAGGTATGCACTGAAACTCCAAGCATAACGTCATTTGTGCCAGAGTCCCTGTCGATACCTCTAAAATTGACACAGCTCTCCACAGAGAGTTAGAAAACCCGAAACATTTAAACAAAAGACAAACGTACAAATCTGCCCTGAATGTGAACATGTAAGGATGAAGTCTTTCACCTCATGCAGTTTGCAAGAAACACACTTGGGTTCCCTCCCCAGCTTAAAGTGCCGCCAGCACGGAAGCAACGCAGATGGTGTCATCAACAATCCTGCTTCCTTCCTAAGAAACTGTCCATCACCTGCAAGAGTGTCAGCTTACACGGTCACTATCTGCAGCGGCCTGCCCAGAGCACCGCCATCCTCTTTGTGTCCCGGCACAACTATCCGCATGGCTGAATGCTGAATCAGAGCAGGAAAGTGGATGTGCCTCCAAAATAGCTTGGCAAAACTCTGGTTGCTTTTCAGCCATAAGCATGATCCTCAAACCAAACTGCCGCACAGCTAAGTGAGCAGCTTCACCAGCAGAGCAGAGAGGGAACTGCAGAAACGAATGGCTGTTCATGCCAGCTTAAACGCTGCCGCGGCTGGACATATGACCACAGCAGAACTCACAATACTGAAATCAAAAAATACCCACCCTTAAATGGGAGCGCTCTTTCCCCTCAAAACAACAGAGCATACCCCTGCTAATTACCTGGCTTTAGGTGTTTATTTAAACACATGATAAATTGACTGAGCTCACTTGAGAAGTGAGATTTTTACATTGTTGCCAGAGACCAAAAGAATAGAGGTGGAGAGTGGCCCTCAAAAATATTTTATGACTATTTACCTCTCTCACACGCCCAAGAGTCCTAAAATATTGCAAGGGAAATAAAAGCAGTCGGAAATTAGTTTCATTAAGCTGTAACTGTTATAATTAATGCTTGAATTATTCTGCTGAAAGATTCTTTAAAGTTCACCTTCTACAGCCTCCTGCTTTGTACTTTACTTGGACAAGCTTTCAAAAAAGAAGGGAAATAATTTAGAAAAACAAAACAGAAGAATATAATTTTAATGTGTCAAAACAGGTACTCAGGAATACTAGAAAGTAGCTTTAACTTATTAAAAAAAAACACAACACAAAAACATACTCAGTTTTATACTGACAAGCTCTCTTTGAAAGTAAATTCTGGCACTCCTCCAAAGGGATTCACATTTGCTCTTGGTGTCCCTGTGCCTTCTGCACTCTGCTTTAAATTGCACGCCTGCTTGCTGACTGCCGAGGCTAACAGAGACAGAACACTTCCACCTGCTCTTCCAGTTCAGAGGTAACATGATTTATGAAATTGCAATAGGTCAGATGTCACAGTTTTGGGTTTTGTGAGAAAAACATTCTGAGAAAAAGATGACTTGCTTCCAGACGCTCTACTTGATCAGACCACTCACATCAGCTGTTACCAAGTATCTGAGAGCAATTTTAATTAAAAATGTGAGAGACAGAGATAGCGAACACCTATCATCCAAGAAGCCAAGATGAGATCGTTCTGCCTTGGATGGTGTTTTAAAACTAGGAATTTTTCTGTTAGGAAGGCTCTATTCAAGATATAGCAGCTATGGATAAAAGCTGGAAGACAGTATGATGCTTGGTGCTGTTAGTAACAGCTGAAGAATTGCTGCACATCGCCGTATTTAGGTATCACCTGTAAATAGTAAGCATCTCATTCAGTCAAACATCAGAAATGGACTGAACCAGTTTTTGGTCTAGCACACTTGCAACACCTTGTTTTTCTAAAAATCACAGAAGTTACAGAGTATTGGGGGTTTTGTTCAAAACGCTTGCATTTCTATTAACGTAAACCAATGCAAGAAACAACAGCATTGGGTTAAGGTCACAAATTAGTCCTAATGAAGGTTTCGAAAACAATTCACACCCACCGTTTTCTCTCACTAGCACACTTAGAGTGCTACCACTGCTACAAACGCCAGCCTCTGTTCAGTAACACTGATAAAGCAACACCTCCATAGACTCACAAAATCTAGGCAGGCAGTTTTCACTTGCAAGTTTGCTCTGAACAGCCAGGATAAAATTTGAGTGAGAAAATGACTGTCTGCCCTTCAAGTATTTCCCCCAAGGCTGCTCTACTTTTCTATAGCCTCAATGGTCTCCTTGGCAGGCAAAGTAACAAACGTATCATGTAGTCACAGAAGCAAAGCTTCTCTCACTGAACTTGAGCATTCAAAACACTCAAAACCACACTGGAAATCTCAGTCTGGCAATGGAACAAGAGCTGTTATGTTTAATCAAACTTTTGGAAATTTTGCTTTATCTGTTCACAAGACACTATGACAATTGGAACTAGCTCTGTCTCATAAGCTCTTGCTTCTCTTTTGTTTTGAAATTAAGAAATAAAAGGAAAAAAAAAGAAAAAGAGATCAGCTATTCATTTGGACAAACTTCCAAAAGAAGACCTAAGACTGAAAGGAACAAGGTAACTCTCAGGACCATACTAGTTCCACTTTAAAATCCTCCTACTTCCCCTGGCATTTCAGAGACCAGGAACAATTAGTGTTAACAGAAGATAGCAAACGTGTTTTGGGGAAGCTGTCAAAGTTTGAGAAACTAAAGTTCTAGTCAGAAGTTTTCTATATGCTGATAGTGTATATATATATCTAAAACAGAAAAAAAGGATGTTTTCTCTCCTCACTAGATAGAAGTACTCAGCAGAGTACAAGACACACAAAGGAAACCACAGTGCAGGAGTACCTAAGTCCATTCACCACGTAGATGTTTCAGACCTTAACCAGTCACCTCCAAGCCCTGCAGCCTCCTGCAGTCCCTCCCAACCTTCTCAGTCTACCAATTGACTAGGCAGCCTGTGTTGCTTAATTAGCCCCATGACACACAGGCCTGTATAAAACAGGAAACAAAATCAAAACAAAGCATGTACTCAAACTAGCCCAAGGCACTAAAAGTTATTGAATAGGAACTGCCCAGATGATTGTACTTACATGGAACAGCTTCTCAGTCTTTGGAAATACTGCTATGATGTCATATAACCTTATATTTGCAGATGTTGATCTCTACAAAAGGAGGAAACGATTACTACCTTGAATTCTGGCAGATGCCAATGCTACACACAATGATTATGACCAAAAATAACGAGAAGAAAATCCTTTTTTTACTTTCAAGTACTAAAACAAAGTCAGCAATCATCCAATTACATAGTAGGTCTCTGTTGTGAGCCATACTGTGAAGTCATTCATTCTTATTTTGAGGCCTGTCCCACCCACCTAGCAAGAAACTTACAAGGCTTGCTTTCATCAGGTAGCACTAAAACATAAAGAGACACAAGGCTTGTTCATGGTTTTCTAGTTTATGCACACAAGTCCAGAAATCAAAGAAAAGAATCGAGGAACAGAACTGTTGTCCTGTATTGACAAATGATCAACAGAAGCCACATGCAGTCTTGTAAGCCTCCATCTCTTCATAATCACATTATTTGCCAAATACACGATCTGAGAAATCACTGCTGAGCATCCTATAAAATCCATTAAGTTCTCCCCACACAATTTCCAAATTTTCATTCATTCATTGAGAAAAGGAAATAAAAACTGGAAAATTAGCGTCCTGAATATACTTACCAAGAGATTACAGTGGGAAGGATCAGAAACAATAAGTGTCAGCCGGGTTAAGACTTTAATTCTTTTAGATGTCCCCTACAAAAAAGAAAACATACAAAAGACTTTAAAAGGTCCAAAGCCAAAATTTGTGGTGACTTTCTGTCTGCTATAAAAAGAAATTGGTAGCTTGCTCATATTCTTTCCTACAATCATTTTCGCAAGTCTGTAGCTACACCTCCCGATTTTATATTGATCTGTTTGATATTATACCTGCCCTTTACAAAGAACAATTTATTGTGTTTCTCTGAGAAAGAGTCAATAGAAAGGAGAAAGAAAGAAATAAAGGAAAAGTAAAATCACACAGAAAAACTGAGTATGTTTTAATACTGCTATAGTTCCCCAAGCAGGCCACAACTGCAAGCAAAAGCAGTTCCTGAACTAACATATGTCAGTGATTTGAAATACAGACTTGGTTCATTATATCCAAATCTTGCTCCATCATATCCAAATCTTGCTCCATCAAAACCAGGAAGCTATTTCCAAACCTCAAATTTCAAGAATTAATCTGTAATTATTCAACTATAAGAGATTCGAAATTCACATGAAGTAATTTAATAATTTCTGAAATAATGAATAGAGCCTACTCTAATGCAAGTATATTGTTCTTCTAATGCTGGGAGTTTTAACAATCAAACAATGAACAGATTTCTCTTTTTTAATTAACATGTAATACACAAAATCACATATACAAACACTGTGAGGTAAAAAACATAACTCACAATAATAATACATAGAGGGAACATAACTGGACGTACTTGTACAATAGGCAAAGATGGAAACAACTCCGAAGGAGATACTGGCTTAATGATTTCCTTAAAAGAGAACAAAACAAAGTTATTCAAAATGTCATGGGCTAAGTTTATAACGTGAACTAAAGCTGTGCTCCAACCCTAAAAAGAAATGTGTCATACTAACAAAACTATTTCCAGGGACAATGCACAGACGATACTAAAAGTTAACTCCAGGGCACTTAAACTGAATTATCAAATGGGAGTTCTGTCATAAATGCAGACATTTGTACTTGCATCTAGTCGTGGATTCTGCAGATAAAGCTGTTTGGGAACATGTAAGAAGGCATGTAGTTTTACAAGAGAAAACACACTAAGAACAAACAATCTCAACAAAAATTACCTGTTTCTTTTCTTTAAAATCGACCACATGATTAAGAGCAACTGCAGAATATCCCACTGAAAAAGTAAACACATAGTAAAAACATTTTGTCCAGTAACCTAATAGAAAAAAATCCGAACAGAAACCTGTTAAACACTCACCACTTAAATGTTTCAAAATTAATAAATACATGCATATTTGCCTTTCACGTCAATTTTGTCTGATGATTAATTCGCTGAAAAAGCGTCTTAAAATAATTAAAAAAAAAGTTTGCTTTTTGATACACCTCAGCCCTGACAACACTTACTTGATAGCAGAGCTTTATGAACATGAATACTTAGGGTTGGGGTCCCCAAAGATTTTGCCCTAGTTTGGTCCTCTTGATGACTTTACTTAGCGAAAACAGTTAAGGACATTCAGGATAGTTGTTAAAACTGCAGACAACGCAGAGTTGGGAGAGAGCGAGCTACGGGAGAAGGCAAGGTGAGCATTCAAAACGATGCTGACAGCAGCGATCAGGGGCAGATGGTACACTTGCTAAAGACACGGGACAGGCAGCACCGGCCACACAACAGTTCCGCAGAAAAAATACCAGGGCCGTAAGAAACTGCAGGTGGAAAAACGTGTCCACGTTGGGAAAAAACAACCGTTACACTGGGATAAACAAGCAGCGACAGAGCCTGCCAGGCACAGTGCGAGCTCTCCTCGCCGCTCAGCCCCGCAGAAGTTCACTCGAGGAAACGTCCAAGTCGAGCCGGGAGAGCGGCGGGGA